GAAAATGTTTTGAGAATGATGTACAAATGCGCTTTACACAATTGATGTGTGTATGGATTGCGATAACAGTTGTATGAGCCCCTAATAAAATGTTTAAAAACAAAAAAGTTGTATGAGCTCCTAATAAAACGATTAAAAAAAAAAAAGAAAATGGGATAATCTAGGCCTTCCTCTCTAAATTCTCAAGCGGATCGAAATGAGGTGATAGCCACCAAGTGTTTGGCACATAGCGAGTACTCACTAAACCGCTGCTGTTCATATTGTTGGGAAAAATGTGCTGAAAAACTTGGCTTATACTCCAGTATATATGAGTCTTGGAAACCCTAGGGGGGTGTTCTACTTTGTCCTGTAGACTCGCTGTTAGTCGCACTCAACTTAATGGCTGTGGGCTGCGGGGTTGAGAGGGAAGTAGCCTCAGGCTAGTGTGAATGCTGTTTCTCCGAGTTTCTGGACCGGAGACAATTTTGTCATTCCCAGTGGCTTTTCAAATTGTTTCGGTACAAGTGCACATGAAGACAGACGTGAGAGAGGGTCCTCTCCTGGGTGAGGAGAAGGACTCTGTCAGGAAGGGGCCTACAGAGGGCTGCTAAGAAATAGGGTTGATGATGACCCGTTCCGTCACCAGCTTGGCAAGTACAGGGTGTTTGCTTGTTCTTTAAAAATGTACACATGCGGTTTGTACTCTTATGTCCGAGACACCTGCAGTACAAAATGTGAAGCGATGCATCCCAATATTCTTAGGCATGTGCTCATGTTCCTTTCATTTTGATTTGATCTAGGTGAGCGTGGCTACCCAGAAGCAGAAACCAAAAACTCCGTTTTGCTTTGGTAAGCAGTACTGACCCAGGGCATGGGCTTTGTCGGTCCTCACACAGCATCTTCTGTTTGCATGGAAACAGTCCTGTGACCACGTGGGACTGTGTGTGCCCCGGGTGCCTGAGTGATGTCCCTGGGTCTGTAGGGATGTCACTTTTCTTGGTTTCTTGGCTAGAATTATTCATAACAAAAGTCAGTTTTTCTGACTGCACAGGCTTGGGTGCTACCGGAAGTTTTTGAGAGCCCCGACTTCAGAGTTGAGTACTAACTGGTGTGCTCCGGGAAGGTGGAGATGACGCCAGCCACGGCCACACATTTGATCTCCAGTAAGCTTTGTTCCATTTCCCACACAAGTCTCTGTCTCCAGGCCACTGGTGCCAGTGGAAACAAAGGGCACTGGGTCCAAACTTGTATGTGTGTCATCACCATTGTACATCTGTTAGCACTGCTGAAAGCAGTTCAGGGATTTGTCTTGTTGATTGTGGGCTAGTAGCCTTATCATCACAGCAGGGCCCAGAGAGGCTCTTGTGAATGTCTCTAGGCAACCTTCATGTGGCCACCAGCAGAATCCATTCTTTGAAAGGTGGGTAAGGAGATAGTTGGGGCCTGTGGTTTCTAGAGATGTATGTAGGTGACCTAGCATCATGGGAACTTCTTGATCAGCTGTGGGGATTATCGACCTTGCTAATTAGAGCAGCTTCATTTTGTGGAGTCCTTCTGTATTGCATGTATTCTGACCTGGGTTTTTTTTTCTCTTTCTCCCCATGATTTTCGCAGTCATAAATGCCCTCTCTCAGAGGTATTTTCTTCAAGCCAATGACCAGAAAGATCTTCAGGACTGGGTGGAAGCCTTGAACCAAGCCAGCAAGATCACTGTATGTATGCTTCCTTCTCTTTGAGGGGAGTGAAAATGCTTCTTCCGACCTTGGGGCAGGGAAGAACTCCAATGACAACAGGGTCTTTCCTAGGGTCCGGGTCCAGACCCAGTCCCCCGGATCCCTGTCATGTTTTGCATCTTGACTGATTAACTGCCAGTTGAAATGAGAGTGTGAGTTTGAATCGAGTTCAAGGGGAGTTTCTGGAGCGTCCACTTTGTGCTTCCTGGGAGGGCTCGTGGTCAGTTGTGTTTGGCTAATTCTGGGATGCTGATTCAGAATGCAGTGGGCTTGGAAACTGGATTGCTGACTAGGAGAAGTAGAGTAAAGGGAGAGAACTTCTGAGGAGGGAAGTTCGAACTTTCCCCTTGGCTTCTTTCTTTACCAGGTTGTCTGATGAGTGATAGGTCATCTACCAACCTGTCCTGAAAAGGCCTTCCATTTAAAAGCATCACTGGGCTAGTTCCCGGATTACTCTGGTGACTTTCATTGCCCTTGACTTGGTTCGTGAAGAAACCCTTTCTTCTTTTTTGGATTAAGGAAAAAAGGAAAGAGAAAAACGGAGATGGGGGTGAGGAGGAGGGAGAGGAGAAAAATGTTGTAGGAAAAATAAGGCCTTTAATACCAGGCCGATGGCCTATGAACCCTAGTTTATATGTTGAAAAGTTTTGATTTCCTGTAACATGAAGTCAGGAACACATTCTAGTGACTTCTAACTATTAAAACGGTGTGCCTGGGTAAATTATTCTCCCAAGTACCTCAGGGTGACTGTGAATAAGTTAATAGAAGGAATCTGGACACCTACCCAGTCCCTGTGATGTTAGACAGAACCAGCACATCGTTTAGGCAGCTAAGCAGTGTTACTTGCTAGTTTGTTATTCCGATAAGCCCGGAGAAGCCTATGAGAAGAGAGGTGGAGGAAGAGAGGTGGCTGCTCACTCGCACACTTGTGTGTTGTGCTAATCCACATGCTGTGCACACGCTCTTCGAGGCCACGGTTACTTTTAGTAAACCAGAAAGCAAACCCAGTGCTGTCGAGTTGGTTCTGACTCGGATTGGACTCAGTGGAGCTGTTCTGCAGGGTTCCCACGGCCCAGTTAACTTATCAGTTAGCAGCCCAGCTCCTAACCCCTGCGCCAGCAGCGCTCCTGAATTTTAATAGAGATGTTCTTTATTCATGTTAACTGACGTCTTCACCCTTCTGGGAAGTTTCCTTCGATGTCTAATTCTTTTTTCCTGCTCAGAATTTCCTCTTAGATTTCTGCCTTCTTTGGGGCCTCTGGGGAACTGGGCTACATAGCCAGGAAGACAACTAGGATGCTCTTTTGCCTTTCTCCTTTTTGTGCATCAAGCACAGAGTTACTCTGAGCAGATCAGTCCCCCGCCTCTTCTCTAGTCCAGCTCACTGCCACCGAGCCAATCCGGACGCACGGTGACCCTACAGGGCAGGGTAGAACTGCCCCTGTGGGCTTCTGAGACAAACTCTTTTTTAGTGGTCGGTCGGTCTATCTATCTATCTATCTATCTATCTATCTATCTATCTATCTATCTAT